CACCCTGGGGCCTGGACTATCATGTGCTCCCAGTGGACTTTAGACAGAATTCTACTCCAGCAGCAGAGGCATGCTCAGATTTCAGGAAATTATCCTCTTGCTTCCATGCGTGGTCCATCGAGCCTTGCTTGCTGCAAGGCCCGGTGAATCACTCACTGTTACAGGTGCACAGGCCCCAGGTTGAGAGGAATCGTGTTGCTGCCTCTTTGGTGATTCTTGAAGCTACATCGCTTCACCTCACATGCCCTCTCCCCCCCCCCCATCAAGGTCCCAGCCCCCATAGCTGCATGTACCTTCCTCCATCACCCCACCCCACCCCACCGCACCCCACCCTTTCCCACCGCACTGAAACGCACTGTACGGCCAGTGATGATCATGCTGGTGGTGCACGCACAATCAGACCGAGTGCTGTGCTGTTGGCATGGCAGCACCCCATTTCCCCATGATGTCGCACCCCACCACATCCCACCGCACTCCACCGCACTGCATGGCAGGTGGTGATAATGCTGGTGGTGCACGCACGGTCGGACCGAGTGCTGCTGGCACGGCAGCACCGCTTCCCCGACGCCATGTGGAGCTGCCTCGCTGGCTTCATGGAGGTGCGTTGGTGCATTCATGCTCACATGTACTGCTTGTAACGGCATCAGATGCCATGTGATTCATCGCTTCCCCGACGCCATGTGGAGCTGCCTCGCTGGCTTCATGGAGGTGCGTTGCTGCATTCATGCTCACATGTACTGCTTGTAACGGCATCAGATGCCATGTGATTCATCGCTTCCCCGACGCCATGTGGAGCTGCCTCGCTGGCTTCATGGAGGTGCGTTGGTGCGGGCATGTAAGGTTGCGTGCGTATTCTGCTGTATGTGCATGTCGAGTGTGTGCTTGCATGTGCTGCTGGCACCGCAGTACTGCTTCCCTGATGCCATGTGGAGCTGCCTCGCTGGCTTCATGGAGGTGGGTTCATGCGCTCATGCATGCTGTGTGCTGAGTGGAAGGATGTTTGCATGTTCTGCTCAGTGTGACGCACATGATATGTTTCTCGTGTTGTCGATTCCACACGTGGGAGAGTCTGAAGGAGGAAGCGAGCATGCCTTTTGCTTCTCCCTCGCCCCTTATTCAACTGCTCATGCTTCTTTCGCTCCCTCGCCCCACCATTCCCATCAGCCAGGGGAGAGTTTGGAGGAGGCAGTGGCGAGGGAGGTGAGGGAGGAGGTCGGCAGCCATTGATGTACCTCGTGATAAAAGTGTTGTTCTGAGACGTCTCAAAACTACACTTTTTATCATGAGGTCGGCAGCCATTGACGTACCCCTCTAATCCCATACCCGTATACGTCTTCCCTCGTCTCGTCCCCCTGTGTGTGTGCCTTCTCTTCCCATCAGCCTGGGGAGAGTCTCGAGGAGGCAGTGGCGAGGGAGGTGAGGGAGGGGGAAGAGGGGGAGGGGGAGCATACAGAGGAATGAGTTCTGAGGCGATTCAAAAACCCTCTTCCCCTCTTCGTCCCCCTCTGTGTGTGCCTTCTCGTCTCATCAGCCCGGGGAGAGTTTGGAGGAGGCAGTGGCGAGGGAGGTGAGGGAGGAGGTGGGGCTGTGCATCACTCACACGCGCTATCACTCGTCGCAGCCGTGGCCAGGTGAGAGGAGAGGGCGTGTGTGTCGTGGGCAGGTAAGTGGATTCATACCACTCCCGCTACCACTGATCTCAGCCATGGTCAGGTGAACACCCTCTCTTATTTTGGCGAGGAAGGGGGTTTGGGTGAACCCAGAAGGAAATGAGTTTGAGTGACGATCGGTTGTCTCTCGAGTCTCTACCAGTTGGCTCTGAACGCACTGCCAGTTGACAACTTAAAGCACCGATGTGCCGATGTGGTATGAAGGTGGAAGAAGAACCTGTTTGGCCAGATATGCTGAACGCAGGGCTAAACATGCAGCATCTCCCTTGCGTCTCTCTATACCTCTCCCCTCCTTCTCCTCGCCCCCACCCACCAGTGGGGTTCGGCAGCATGCAGTGTCAGCTGATGCTGGGCTTCTTTGCATTCGTGGACGACACTGCTGTCACCCTCAACACACACGAGCTGCAAGGTGCGTGTGCTCGTCATGTGTGCATGCGTCTAGTTGCATCAGTCTCCATATGTGTGCAAGGAAAAGCTGTGGTGTGCAACTCCGTGGGACTCGATTACTAATACTTTTAGGTGTAATGTTTTTCTTTTCTTTTTTTTTTAGCATGCACTTCTATTCATGCCCTCTCGTGGTTCTGTTTGTGATGGGTTTCCGAAGCGACATCGCACCCTACCCTACCCTCACAGTGGAAGCGTTTTGTGTATACCTCCTCCATACAAGATCAGAAATCTTGCATGCGAAAAGTCATTTTCTGCATGCAATCTTCTGTCTGCTGCAGATGCTCACTGGTTCACACGCCAGCAAGTTGCAACTGCACTTTCCCCTGAGAGATACGAGACGGAATGCACTGCAGCGAGTCGCAAGGTGTATCAGAAACTAGTTCCGCAAGCGCACGAGGACTCGCTGCCCCCAGAGCATAAGCCCAACACCCATGTGTATGTCCCAGGACCCTATGCCATAGCCCACCATTTGATAGCTACTTGGTCACGTGACAAAAGCACTGTGGATGGAGGGCACAGTTGCTTGTGATCTAACGAGAGCAGTTACCGTACAATGAGGATGTCACCAACTTCAGATTTTGTATGCGCGAATGCCAAAATGCACAGTTTGTTGTATGGGAAATGGCTATGTGCATGTTTTCAGATCAAACCAGTAGCCAGTTTGTTTTCAATACCGGTACATGCAGGTGACAGTGACTACATGTATGGTGCCATGTATTTCAACTACAATAAAGAAACTGGTGGCACCATTGTTAATTGCAGGTCCAAGAATGCACAATCTTATCTCAGACTCAAGTCTATGCCCACATCAGCTTTATGAAGGCTGGGTCATCAACAAATCAGTGTGCTCATATGTTGCAGAACGGGTGAATGACTATAAATACATGAGGGGCAAGTGGAAATCAATTACCGGTACTGCCGTATAATATTTTACGGAACTATGTGTATTGACAATGATTTGCAGAAGGTTTTGTGGACCTGGTCGATATCAGGACATTTCCTAGTCGGCTATTTTTCTCGCGTGGAGTACCACCTCACTATGAGGCAGCTTCACTCGTACTTGCGGTGCGGATCAGCAGGATATGGGTATGCTTTGGCACTATGATTATGCCACGTGCGAAGGTCACGACTTGTTGGTCAATGTTGAAAAATCCACGTCGGACGCAAACACCCTCGTATGCCCGACAGAGTCGAGGAGACGGTGGCCACGGAGGAGCCACATTTGACGTACTGAAACTCTAATTTCCACAGATGACACGAGTGTTTTTCAGTCCACGTCGTCCTCTGTGCGCGAACAACAGAAGCTTGTGGCCAGGGGTGCAGCCCGCAGCATCCAGCAGGGCCCCGAAAAGTTGCTGCCACGGCAGCACAGTGAGGCGACGAGCTGGCACGCCATTTGCGATCGGGGCTGTGCTGCTTCCAGCGCACATTCCGGTGCAATGTGGTCCCCCACCATTCGCATTCCGTGTCGCGCTGCACTCGCGCTTCGTTCCAGCACAGGTACTGGCTGGCAGCGTGTGGCGGAAGCATCATCAAAATTTATTCCCCCCAGCGCCGCAGTTCCCCCTAAACAACTCGCGCTGGCACTGACTTCGCACCTCCTTTCCACCAGAGGAGGAGAAAACGGCTCCCGTATTGGCTCCCGTGTCGCGGCGCTGCCGTGGCACTAGCAGCAATGCCACGCTTGAGTGGTTGGCTTCTCTTCCCGCAACCCTCAACATTTCCGACTCCCCGCATCCAAACGGAGTCGCGCATTGCATTGGAGAGAGTGCGTGTGACGCCTGGTTTTGCGAACACCTATTTGAGGCAAACTCGACATCGCAAACTCAGCAATCAAAATTCTTTTGCACTCCAAGCAGTGCTTACTAAGTTACTCTCAGTCTAGTAGTAGCCGCTATACAAACTCCTCTGATCCGCACTACATCTTGGACCCAAGAACCTGCATCTGTTCTCCTTCCGACCGACCTTCGGCTGCCTGTTATTACTTCGAGGCACGATGATTGCATACGCCTGGAGCCTGGCCACCGCCACCGTCGGCATTCTCGGTGGAGTCTCCACGGTCGTGTTCGGCGGGAGCTACATGGCGCACACCCGGATCGTGCAGGCGGTGAGTGAATCGCACTCCCGATTCTTTTCTGTATTGTGATGAAGTGGCGGCGGTGGTGATTCTCCTTGGGTGGACTAGGAGGTTCCGTGGATTAAAGCCGTACTCTTTGGCTGTCGTGCATTTACTCGTGCTATTACTTACTGCTTTCGATACGTTTATCACAAACTGATCCATGTTGCGGTTTCCCTCTGCCACTTTTATTTCTTCCTGCAGAAACAACTCGCGAAGAGAAGAATGAGTGAAAGCGCTGCGCCTTTGGCTCCCAAGGTGGAAGCGAGCTGAAGGTGGCTCTCGTGATCTTGGCGCTCGCGAGGTGCTACGATAAACAGCAATAATCTCAGCCGTTGATATACCTCAGTTAGCCCTCTCACACGATGGCCCAGTAGTGTACATTCTTCTGCGAAGTAAGCAGCGCTCCGGCAAGCAACTTAGGTTGTAAAATGTGAAGTAGAAGTCAATGATTGTATTTTTCTCGCTGAATCGTTTCCACAAGACGCCGTTGAGAGAGAGAGAAGTAACATGGCTTATGCGTTCGCATGGCTTGAGCCAAAGGAGAGTCCAGGAGAACGTAATTGTCAAGAAGGGCTTCAGATAGTGTTAAAACGTTGTAGCATACTGAGAGAATAAACCTACACATTGTTCAGGAAAAAACCCTGGACACTGGAGCAACACGTGAATGAAGCTAGTGTGTTCCACATTTCTGGAGTCAAGCTGAATCAACTTTTAGAATGAATGTTGAAGATGCACATACTTTTAGAAAGAATGTGCCGAGCTAGTCACATAAACCTAGTGTGCTTCACATACTCAAAGCGGCCCAGTGCATCATATGCTATCATCACCTGCTGCACCTTCCACTCTCCATCCACCATGTACCCTGTATCCTCAATCCCACCTCCCTCCTCCCCTTCACCTCCACCCAACTCCACCCCTCCTCGATCCTCACTAACCCCATCACTACCACCCTGCATCCCTTGTCCTCCCCCTCTCACATAAGTCACAACCAGCCAAAACTCCTCCCCTTCTCCTCCGCCCTCGCCGCTGAGCATTGGCTCTAAGGGGGACGGCATAGCCACCACCACGCCTCTGGGCAGAGCCCACACACCGTACTTGGTTTGCTGTGCCTTGGGTATCCCTGCCGAGTACCCTGAAAATACCTCCATGTTCTGGGTTTCCAGCCTCTTGTTCGGATGCTCAGGAAGAGGTGTAGCATAGAGGTCAGTGTAGATGTAGTGGGGAACTCCATAGAGGGGCTTGGGAGGGAGAGGGGGGAGGGAGGCCGGCAGGTGGGTTGGAAGAGGGGTCTTCCAGTGAGGACTGGCCCACGTGCCATGCCGGGATTGGTCGGAAGGGTTTGTGCTTCCGTCCGTAGCTTGGTATCTGCCAGCAGTGTGATCGTTGTTGCGGCTGCCCGTTGGTAGCACAGTGTCATCTTGCCTCAGAGACAAGGAAGCTTCCGAGAAGGCCACGTTGAGCTGTGCTCCGGGGCCTGTGAGGAAGGGGCGGTGGAGGCAGAGGAGAGGAGATGGGTGAAAGGGGAGAGAGAGGGAAGCGGGCTTCTCAAGCAGAAGTGGATGGTGGTCTCTGTGTGAGAGAGCGAGGTCAAAGCGGCGCGGTGGGATGATTGGAGCAAGTGGTGGACTTGACTTGCGGATGATTGGACTTGCGGATGATTGGACTTGCGGCTTGCATATACATGTTTGAGAAAGAATTCTCAAAGAAGGCTCACAATGACCTATTGCTCCAAACGGCAGCACTGTGCGTACCGTCCATGAAGCACACGTTGGCTGTGAGCAGCACTGCACGCCGTGCTGACCCCTCTCCCCTGCTGCCCTGCCCTCGCCCCTTGTCACGCTCACCCTCCTCGCCCTCCCCCTTGCCCTCCCCGCCACCCTCTCCCCTGCCCTCCCCCTTGCCCTCTCTCTTGCACAGGAGAAGGGCCACGCTCCCTCCGCCACCTTGGCTGGGAAATCCCCCTGCCGGTTGAACTGCTCGTGCTGTGGGGAAAGGAGAAGGGTGGAGAGCAAGGTAAGTCGCCCAGCATCTTCACAGGAAAAGGGCCACGCGCCCGCAGCCACCTTGGCTGGGAAGCCCTCCCGCCGCTTGAACTGCTCGTGCTGTGGGGGGGACAGTGGGGGAAGGGGGGTGGAAGGGTGGGGTGGTGAGGGGAGGAAGAGAGGTTGGATGGACATGCAACAAGCGTGGCTGTTCTCCTGTAAGCGTGGGCTCCACAGGAGAAGTGCCACACACCCTCCGCCACCTTGGCTGAGAAGTCCGCTGCTGGTTGTGCTGTGTGGGGAAGGAGGGGTGGCGAGAGAGGGTGAGGGGAAGGAGAGGGCTGGAGAGAGAGTTATGGGGGGGAGGAGAGGGGTGGAGAGAGAGGGATGGGGGGAAGGAGAGGGGGTGAAGAGCAAGGCAAATCGCCCCGCTGTTCCACAGGAGAAGCGCCACGCGCCCTCCGCCACCTTGGCTGAAAAGACCCCTGCCATATCAACTGCTCGTGCTGAGAGGGGGATTGTGGGGGAAGGTTGGAGGAAGATTGGGGATGAAAGGAGGGATGAAGGGGTGAAGGGAGAGGTGGGGAGGAGGAGAGAGTGGATGACGTGCAGCAAGCATGGACCCCCCATGACAAGGGCCACGCTCCCCCTGCCACCCTAACAGGGAAGCTGCCGGTTGGGCTACTCGTGCGGTGCAGGGAAGGAGGGGTGGAGAGATAGAGAGAGGTGCGCGGAGGAGGAGAGAGTGGAGGGCAGCATGGGCCTCACAGGGGAAGAGCCACATGGCCTCCGCTGCCTTCACTGGGAGTCACGTGCCGATGCCATGCGCGTGTGAGTGTGAATGTGAAGAGTGGAGGAGATTGGGTGGAGAGCGGGTGGAGAGTGGTGGAGAGTGGGTAACGAGAAAAGGAAATCTGTGCTGGGGGATTGCCGTGTGCGAGTTGCATGGGACAGGGGCTGAGGCAAGAGAGGAATCTAGGGAACAGGTAGCAGAGGAAGGGAGGAGGAGGGAAGTTGACAAGCGAGGGAGGTCGGGGGGAGAGAGGATGAGAGTGAGAGAACGGGAGAGAAGGCAGGGGAGAGGGAGGAGAAGGCGAGGAGATGCGGAGAGGCGTAAGGGACCAAACGAGGGCTTCTTGTTTGGCCCCTTAAGGCTTCACCTGTAACGTCTCTCACACCACTGTTTTTGCAGGCGACGAGGAGGCTTGGAAAGGGCAACAGCAAGGGCAGCGGCAAGGGCAGGAGCAAGAGCAGGGGCAAGCGCGGGGGCGGGCACAGGAAACAGGGGCAGGGGCAGGGGCAGGGGTGGGGACAGGCACAAGGGCGGGGCCAGGGCAGGGGCAGAGGCAGGGGCAGAGGCAGGGCAGGGACAACAGTAACGGCAGGGGCAGAGGCAGGGCAGGGACAACAGTAACGGCAGGGGCAGAGGCAGGGCAGGGACAACAGTAACGGCAGGGGCAGAGGCAGGGCAGGGACAACAGTAACGGCAGGGGCAGGAATTCGGGCAAGGCCAGGGGGAAGGGCGAGGGCAGGGGCAAGGATAGGAGCATGGCTCGGGCAAGCGCAGGAGCATCTTACCCGCAGCACGTACTCCTCTGCACCGCTCTCAACCTCCACGGGGGTGATTTCGCGCAGCAGCTCCAGCGACAGCTTCGCCTCTCGCCCCTGCGCTGGTAACCAGAATCGCCAGTGCCCGTACTGCGTCGCCAGCTGCGGCCGGTACCGCTGCCAGTGCTCCTCGGGGGTCAGCACTCGCCCGCCGGTCCTGGAGTTTATCGTGCGGTTATCCGCGGTGCGGTTATCCGTGGTGCGGTTATCGTCAGCCCCTCCGAAGGATTTATCACACCCCTCTGCTGGCCCCATTGGGGGTGAGGGGTTCTTTGTATGGCCGTTTGGGTGCTCGCTCGCATCCCCGTTATTGGCAGCTCCGTGCTCTCGCGGCAAAGCGGCATTCGGAACCTGCATCGCCCCGCCGCCGCCGCCGCAGCCGCTCAGGGATCTGCGTGAAGCGCGACGAGAAAGACGGAGCAGGTGAGTTCCCTTCGGAAGGGCCGGCGCTGACGTGCTGCGAATCCCGCAAGTCGCGGAAAAAACCGCGGCCGGATAGAATCCGCGAGGCGCGGAACGGCCCTCAATGCACCGAAAACGCTCGCGAGAAAAGGTGCGGCTCGCAACGGATAAGATCCCGGAAGGGGAAGGTGGAGCGAGGATGAGGGGCATGACTGGAACGAGATACGCCGAGCTTCCAAAACGAATTAGGTCTTTCGTGGTAGGAGGCAGAAAATACTATCCGCCGATGAAATTCCATCGCGTTCACGTGGCTCGCGACGACGGAAGTCGGTATTCTGGCGAGGCGCAGGGCCGCGCGGCTCGGCTGCAAGAGGTCGTGTGGGCTGGGGGAGACTGGCGCGATGCGAGTGGTAGACGTGGGTGATTGATAGACGCGGTCGGCCTATCCGAAGCACTGAGCGGAGAGTACGAGAAGGTAAATACGCGATACCTTACTACGGCCGTTCCAACGCTGGTGAGAGCGATGGGACGGAAACTCCGAGAGCAATTACGCGCTAAGAAAATCCGCGGTGAGCAAAGAAAGGAAGCACGCTATTAAAGCAGCAGTATACATTTGAAAGTACTATTTGTTTTGTACAGTGTGCTGAGGGGGATTCGCCTCAACGAAACAAAAAACAGACTGGCGAGGGTGTTGGCGAAAAACTGAGGCGGCACTGTTGTGAGGGAACAAGGGTTGGGTGGGGAGGTTGTCAGTCACAAACCGAACTCACCTGCCTCGCTGGCACGCTTCGAAGAGACTAGTAGCTATCAGAACTGGTAGAAGTACCTAAGGAGTGGGCTAGTGGTTGCTAGACCTGGAGCGCGACCACACACATAGGTAGTCGCGGGTGAGTAATTAGCCATGTGCAGAGCAGGCGACGGTTAAAAAGCGACCAGCAAAAACGCCCGCCATCTCCCCCACGTGCACTAATATTTCGACGCAATGCACTCGGACGATGGCACAGAGGCATTCGCCTCAATCCGCCGTATTGAATACTTAGCGCCCGTCGAAACCTATCTAATGCGCCACTACGAGGGGCATTCGACGCGCTCCCCGCAATGGCTTCGTGCATTCAGAAAATACACATTTCACGTGGGGAGGTATTTGCACTCCTCCGCCAGCCAGCTGGCCCGTCGCCCTTAGCCAGGATTAGCCCGCGCATAAGCAGAAGCCTGTGCAGCAGCAGTTGCGCGCTCTCCTCGAGCCTCGAACGCACGCCTGCATTCCGCGCGAGACAGCGCAGCGCGCGTCAGCAATGCGCGCTCAGCATAGCAGCGCGCGCCAGCAAAACGCGCGCAGCAAAGCGGTACGCGCCTGCATAGCGCGCGCGCCTGCACAGCGAGCGCAGATGACGCTCGCGCGTCATCAATCAGCACGCGGTTGCAAGCACGCGCGCTCCAGCCCCATTTCCCCCCCTGCGCCCCATATTTCCCCCTATGCCAGCCCCATTTTTCCCCCCTGCCAGCCCCATTTTTCCCCCCTGCCAGCCCCATTTCCCCCCCTGCTAGCCCCATACTTCCCCCCATGCTAGCCCCATGTTTCCGCCCTCTTAGCCCCATGTCACCCCCCTACTGCTGGCCCTATGTTTCCCCCCATGCTAGCCCTATTTTTCCCCTCTTTCCCCCCCCCCTTGCTTCCGTATTTTTCACCCACCTTTCCCTCATTTTCCCCATCTGCTTACCTCTGTGCCTCTCCACCCCCTTACACCCCAATCAGCTCCTTCGACTTTGCTTATTCTCGGTCCAGCGGTTAGGTTAGAACGTTGCCCAGTCTACGGAGAATCAGCTACCGAAGTAGGACCTTGTGGGCTATCCTCTCACTAGTGCAGTTTCAGTTTCCTTTTGCAATTCCTAAGGTTTTGAACTGGGAGTGCGGGGAGTCGGACGTGGGGTGTTTGGGGACTCACTTCACCTGTCAACCAGGGGGTTGGGGTTGTAATCGCGTAACCAGTTTTTCAAGTTCCTAAGGTTTTTGAAACCCCTGCTTGCAAAAGTATACTGTTGCTTTAAAAAAATACTTAGAATTTAGCTAAAGGCATGGAAATTCCTGAGAGATTTCACTTCACACCCGTTTTCCAAGCATTCCAACGCTACCCGAATATCTCAGCGGAAACGGGTCGTCAGGCCTGACGACCCTCTGACGACCTGACGACATGCTGCCCCGGGCAGAAAAAACTAAAACCCTATCGGATGGCATGCCATCCGAGGGAGGCATCAACCCTAAACACCATGCCTCCCCGTGTTTAGGGTTGATGCCTCCCTGACCGGATGCATGCCCGATAGGGTTTTATTTTCTTTGCCCGCGGGCAGCGAGCTCCCCCGGGCGGACTCGCTTGTCCGCTGAGATATATCAACCGGTCTCTCCCAGCCCAGCCCGTTCGCATATTGTTCCAACCTCCGGTCCTGGTCCGTCAACAATCAGATCTGTTACAATATGTATATTTTCGAAAGTGTTACACTTTCTAAAATGACTTATTGTGAAAGCGCAGCAGCTTGTACGCAGCACTCAAAGGCATCGTCGAAGCGCTATTCGCCCTTCTCCGACTACAAAAGAAGGGGTTTCGGCCATTTGGCCTCACCCATGTTTTCATTTTTGAACTTTCAAGTTCAGTTTCCCCCCCACCCTCCGCATGCTTAGACATGATGTAATAAACTCTGGTTATATGACGGGCAATGCTGTACTTGAACCACAAGCAATGAAGACGATGCTTATTGCTAGTCAAGAACCAAGCTTTCTCAATAAGGAAAATGCATCAAGCATTTATGTACGTAACAGGGACACGCACCACCGAGCTTGGAGACCAAGGCTCGGGACGAGCCGAAGTGTAAAAAACAATTACCATCAAAACCGATGCTGGCAGAAACATTTGAAAGGAAAAAGGTGGGAACGGGTTTGAAACGGGTTCCCGCGCCGCACGGTTGTGATACACCTTGTCAGAATATTATGCTCTAGCCTGTAGTGGGGTGCTCTATAGCGAGTACAACCCTTCTAGGGTTTGCTATTTGTATCCTCATTCTTGCTAGTGCAACCTCTCCTTCTTTGCCTAAACTGTTTCTTGCCTAGCTAGGGCTTTCCTAGCTATGGCGCCTTCTTCTACTGCTTACTTTCACATGGTATCAGAGCGATATGCTCCTGGCCTGTGGGCCCCACCTCACTGCTTCCGCTGCTACTGCTACTCCCTGTCCGCCGCGCGCCCCGTGGTGCGCGGCGTCGAAATTAGGGTTTTTCAGCCCGCCGTGCGCCCCGAGGCGCGCGGCGGTTTTCTGCCCGCCGTGCGCCCCGAGGCGCGCGGCGGTTTTCTGCCCGCCGTGCGCCCCGAGGCGCGCGACGGGTTTCTGCCCCGTCACTCGGCGCGTCGCCCCCAGGAGGCGCTACGACGGGCGACGGGGACCCGCGCGTCGCCCCCCGTCGCCCGTCGTGGCCTGCGCGCGGCCCGTACAGCCGGCGCGCGGCCCGTACGGGCTGCGCCAGGCCCGCGCGCGGCCCGTACGGGCTGCGCCAGGCCCGCGCGCGGCTCAGGCCGCCTGCGCGCGGTTCGGGAGGCTGTGCCAGGCCCGTGGGCGGCCCGTTCTTCGCTGCCCCTGTCCTCCCCGCTGTCCCCCGTGCTTCTGAAGGCGCCCCACCCCTCCTTCTGCCCGTTCTCCTGGATTAGGGTTTGGGGGTGGGGGGTATGGGGGTGCAGCTTCTGTGTGCCGTTCCCTGCTCCTCCTCCTCCTCCGTCTCCCTGTGCTGCAGCTGCCGCTGAGGGGGGGTGGACCTGTTGGAGCCGTCGGAGTGGTACTAAGGGAGGGTGAAGGGGGAGTGGAGCTAGGGGTGAAGCAGGGGGTGTGTGTCAGGGGGGGTGGTACTGTTTGGGGGAGGTTGAACGGAGGTTGCCGTCGTGTCGCCAGCAGCACCTGTAGTCCGGGGAGTTGCTCCGGTAGCCCAGTCGTAGCCACCTGTGCCAGTCGCCCGTGGGTCCGTTGCTCGTCTGCCGCTACTTTTAGCCGCGGGGCCAGTTACTCCAGTAGTCCGGAGCGCTGTTCCGGTAGCCGCTGTGCCAGTGTGCCTCCTGTTGCCCGTGTGTCTGCAGCTTCAGCCGTCGCCTCCTATCTCCTCTCCTCTCACTGTCCCTCCTCCTCCTCACTTGCCCGTTGTGACTACCACTAGCTTTGCTTATAATTGTGAACTTTAAACTATTGCTTCCTGAACTTGTGCTCAGAATGTGTGGTGACATTGTGATCCACCCTGAGCTTGTTCTGCTTTGCTTGCTCTGCTGATTACACCCCACTTTGGCTATGGGGGTGTGTCAGAATATTATGCTCTAGCCTGTAGTGGGGTGCTCTATAGCGAGTACAACCCTTCTAGGGTTTGCTATTTGTATCCTCATTCTTGCTAGTGCAACCTCTCCTTCTTTGCCTAAACTGTTTCTTGCCTAGCTAGGGCTTTCCTAGCTATGGCGCCTTCTTCTACTGCTTACTTTCACACACCTGTAATTAGGGAATGTATCCTTTAGAGTGCATGGCTAGCTAGGACCTTTCGCATTCTCTTTGTTATAGTCATTAATGTCATTTTACATCCACTCTGACATGCGTCACTAATCATTCTGCAGTGCAATCACCCTGCGGATCACGAACTCGAGTGTGTTGCCACGTCGGCGTCGATGCGCGACAACACATTCCACCTAATACTCTGGTTCATCCTGTACGAGAACAGGTGGCGGTGGCGGTGGCGGTAGCTGACGTCCCTGATACTGCTAATTGGGGTCCTTGTAGGGCTTCAGCAGCTGAACATGAAAGCATTGTGAAGCTTCCATGTAGTCGGTAAACCCTAA